GTCTATAAAATCATGACTGGTGTGGAGAAAGTGAATAAGGAAGTGTTATTTAGCACTTCACATAACACAAGAACTAGGGGTCACCTGATGGAATTAATAGGCAGCAGGTTTAAAACAAACAAAAGGAAGTATTTTTTCACACAACGCACAATCAACCTGTGGAACTCCTTGCCAGAGGATGTCATGAAGGCCAAGACTATAACAGGGTTCAAAAAAGAACTAGATAAATTCATGGAGGATAGGTCCATCAATGGCTATTAGCCAGGAGGTGCAGGGATGCAAAACTGTGCTCTGAAGTGTCCCTAACCTCTGTTTGCCAGAAGCTGGGAATGGGCGACAGGGGACGGATCACTTGATGATTACCTGTTTTGTTCATTCCCTCTGAAGCACCTGGCATTGGCCATTGTTGGAAGACAGGGTATTGGGCTAGATGGACCTTTGGTCTGACCCAGTCTGGCCCTTTTTATGTAATGCCCATAATTCGTAACTACTAATGGCACGCCATTGCCATCTAGTGGCCACACACCTAAAGGAGATAATCTCCCTCTCTCCATAGCTGCCATTCATTCCTACCAGTACCTGAGCTCTGGAGGAGGGTGGGAAAGGTAACAGTTGGGTCTTGTGGAAGCAGCTGGTTTCAGGTCTGACGCTGGTTTTCTCCATTATGATCAAACAAACTCTCCTCCTCTCTCCTTTCTCCCCTCCCCACCATGCCCCTAACAGGATGAGAAGAACCAAATGATGACCACAAACGTCTGGCTGAAACAGGTGAGGGATCATTTCCCCGCGGGGTGCTGGGAGGAGAGGTGGGTTTCCCATGTCACAAGGAACTCCCCGGGGCTTAGGAGTTTGGTTCAGAGAAGTCCCGACCAGCCTGGCTTCTCGTCTAGCCGCACTTCTTGGGGTTAGAAACTTCATGAGAAGAGCTTTGGATGCTGGATTTCAGCCTTGTCCCCCTGATCTGGGTGAAACCCGAGAGACAGGATGCCCCAGGGGCTTGGCACTGGTGCATGGTGACTTTACCCATGTGGACATGGCTGAAATCTAGCCCATGTGAGAAGTGGCTGGGAGCTGTTCCCCTCCCACAGCGGCTCAGACTTTGTGAACTGGGTTGGTGGGTCTCAGCCCAGGTCCCCAGGGATGGGCACTGAACGGACCCCAGTGACAGGTCTCTGAAGCGGCTCTGCCAAGGGCAGAATTTAAAGCATGTTGATGGGACCGTCCATCGGGAGCTGATCGTGGTTCAGCCTGTGCTCTACCTGCCCTACATGGCGAGACCTTCGCTCAGCAGGATTGCCGCCTGGGACCTTTCACCAGCACTGAATTCCCACCAGCGCCCAGATGCCGTGGGGATGGGCACTTTAGCAAAGTGCCTACTAATAATGAAGACGTGTTTGAAAAGAGAAAATCTGCTCGGGAGGAACCTCTTTAAGCTGAGCAGCGACCGAGGACCCCTTTAGCTCATGTAGGAGGGGCCCATGCTTCGGGCGCTAAACATCCGAGGGGACCCAGGATGAGTTGTTACAAGAGGACACTGTACGTCTCCTTGCAGCAATGGTCGCCCCACTCCCTCTGGCGGCTGGATCCCCAGCCCTCGCTGGCCAGCATGTCCATCTCAGACCCTTCTTGCTCTTTCCTCCCCCAGGAGTGGAGTGACTACAAGCTGCGCTGGAACCCGGCGGACTTCGATAACGTCACCTCCATCCGGGTGCCCTCTGAGATGATCTGGATTCCTGACATTGTGCTGTATAACAAGTAGGTGACACCACTGCGCAGGTACAGCAAGGCAAAGACCTTAGGGATGGAGAGGGGACCTAGGGGGTCCCATGCCTGCAGGCCAGGCCTCACGGAGACGTCGGTCCTGATCCCACTTGCAGTTGCACCAATTGAAATTAGGAGTAACTCAACTGAAGTCAATGGGTTTACACTGGTGTATCTGGGAGCAGAATCAGGTGCATGGTAGCAGGGAGCCAGAGTGAACCACATGGTCTGTCTGTGTCCAGCAGCCTGAGCAACAAATCCCCTTCCCATGCATTACGAGGGTGACCAGATCACCACACTAAAATATCGGGACACATTGGGGTGCCATCAGCCCCGCCCACAGTCCACTCCCACTCCTCCCAGGCTCTGCCCCCCTTCCCCCCCAGCTCCCCCCCCCCCCCCCCCCCCCCCCCCCTCCCCGCGACCTTCCTCATCCCGGCCCGCCGCTGGCTTGCTGCATCCCTCCTCAGTCCCCCACCCACCGCTCGCCTCCTCACCCCCCGGCCCGCCACTCGCCTCTTCACCCCCCCGCCCGCCACTCATCCCTATGGTGCCGACTTCCCCTCTGCTGGGTGGGTGCTCGCCCACCCCCTGCCTCTTCCCGCCCTCGCCCTGCCCCCATTCCACCCCCTTCCCCCAAGTCCCCGCCCCTGCCCTGCCTCTTCTCCGCCTCCTCCCCTGAGCGTTTTGCGTCCCCGCTCCTCCCCCCTCCCTCCCGGAAAGCCGCCAAACAGCTGTTAGGCCGCAGGAAGCGCTGGGAGGGGGGGAGGAGCGGGGACGTGGCGCGCTGGGGGGAGAGGGAGAGAAGGAGGCGAGGAGGGGGAAGCTTGGCTGCAATTTTTCCCTGTAGGTGCTCCAGCCCCGGAGCACCTACAGGGTCAGGGCCTCCCTCCCGCTCGCCTCCTTACCCTAATATCGGGACAAATGGCGTCCCGAGCGTACATCGATCGGGATGCGGGACAAAGGGTTAAATATCGGGACATCTGGTCACGCTAGGCATTACAGCCCCGTCTCCCAGGCTGTTTCCACCAGGCAGGGCCCTACGCTTCACGACACCATGTTCCTGCTCATGCTTCCAGTTGAAATGTGTGTCTTGCTGCCACCTGCTGGTGCGTCTCGGTCACTAAAGGAAATGTTATTCTCGACCTGGGAAGGGCCTGCTTTTTAATTAACGTCCGGCCTCGTTAACAGATTCCGTCACAGAGCAACCGTATCCTGGGGAACTGGGTCGGAGCCGGGTTCCTGGGTTCCAAACCTGCCCCGCGTCATTTCATGACCAGCTGCCTTGACAGACAGGGTCTTCATCGGCCCCAGGCCCGGCCATGAGTTTGCAGGGTTTCGTGCCGCACGCTCAGTGTTCTCCCTTGGCATCCAGACAGGAACCTTGCTGCGCTCGGCTGCAGAGACATCTTGAGATACCCCCAGGCCCGATCTCCTGCTCCTGCCCCACCGACTTCTTCCTGATCTGTCCATCCAGCCATGCTCATCACCACAGTATCTGACACCTGCCGCGGGGTTGTGTTGGGTCACTGAGCCCCTCTGTGTCTACCCACCTAGGCACTTACGTGTCCCCCCTTCATCACACATCTCAGCTCCTCCCGAGGACCCGATCCCCCCATTTCACAGATGGGGACACTGCGACCTAGAAGAGTTAGGGGTGAAATTCACCCCCGTGCAAAGGGCCAGGCTCCACTTTATCCCTCACACCGGGGACATTAGTGGTGCCTTGGCACTGGCCGGCCACATGAGGTGGAGTGATTTGCACAGGGGGGGCTGTAGCAAGGCCAGGAACTCAAACCGAGATCTTTTGAGTCCCAGAGCCGAGCTAATCACAAGCCCTTTCTCCTCTTTTACTGCTCCTGGTGGATTTGGTCTTGCCTCCTCCCCGCCCCCCACTTTCTCCGAGGCTCTCACCACTCTGACCCCCGCTCCTCTGTCCTGCAGCGCCGACGGGGAGTTCGCCGTGACGCACATGACCAAAGCCCACCTCTTCTCCAACGGCAAGGTGAAGTGGGTGCCGCCGGCCATCTACAAGAGCTCATGCAGCATCGACGTGACCTTCTTCCCCTTCGACCAGCAGAACTGCAAGATGAAGTTTGGCTCATGGACGTACGACAAGGCCAAGATTGACCTGGAGAGCATGGAGCGAGACGTGGACCTGAAAGACTACTGGGAGAGCGGGGAATGGGCCATCATCAACGCCGTGGGCACCTACAACACCAAGAAATATGACTGCTGCACGGAGATCTACCCCGACATCACCTACTGCTTCATCATCCGGCGCTTGCCCCTTTTCTACACCATCAACCTCATCATCCCCTGCCTGCTCATCTCCTGCCTGACCGTGCTGGTCTTCTACCTGCCCTCCGACTGCGGGGAGAAGATCACCCTCTGCATCTCCGTGCTGCTCTCCCTCACTGTCTTCCTGCTGCTCATCACCGAGATCATCCCTTCCACCTCGCTGGTCATCCCCCTGATCGGCGAGTACCTCCTCTTCACCATGATCTTCGTCACCCTCTCCATCGTCATCACCGTCTTCGTCCTCAACGTCCACCACCGCTCGCCCAGCACCCACAAGATGCCCCGCTGGGTGCGCGCCGCCTTCCTGGACTTCATCCCCCGCTGGCTTTTCATGAGGCGGCCTCCGGTGCTAACCCCCCGGCAGGGGCTGAGCGGGGAGTATGACCCGCCTGGCGTCAGGCTCAGCACCTCCAGGGGCTGGCTGGAAACGGACGTCGATGACACATGGGAGGAGGAGGAGGAGGAGGAAGAGGAGAGGAGGCACCCCGGACGCGCGCCACTCCAGACAGGCTCCCACAAACACAGCGTCCAATACCGCTCCGGCTGCGGCCGCCACCTGGGCAGGGGGCGGGGGGCCCGGGCACAGCGCCCGCCTGCCAAAGGGGACAGCTTGGGGTCGGATCCCAGCTTGCTGCTGTCCCCCAGCATTCTGAAGGCCTTGGAGGGGGTGCACTACATCGCAGACCACCTGCGGGCCGAGGACGCTGATTTCTCGGTGAGTCTGCGCCCTGCTGGCTCGGGAGGGCTGGGCCCTGGCACCGTGGGTCTTTCCCCCACTCTAGCCATTGGTTGGAGTCTGGCCCATTTCAGGCACCACCATCTGATGGCTATTCAGGGGCCCGGTTGGCACGAGTGGGCGGGAGTCAGTCTAGCTCCCAGCGGAGAGGCACCCCCTGCATTGCCCCCCCCCCAGAGAGCAGTCCCAGCAGAGAGGACCAGGCAGTGATGGGCAGGGGGAACTGGCTTTCCTTCTCTCGCCCCAGCGGGGTCCAGGATCCGGGGCTGGGGGGAGGCCTGTCGCTCGGGCAGGGTGAAGGGGGCTTGCTCCGCTTGCTGCCCCTGCCCCAATGCCCCCAGCTGTCCAGCCGGCGCTGCGGTCACCTACAGTCGTTGTCTGCGGCTGTTCTGTGACCTCTTGGTCGGTTGTCTCCTTGCCAGGGATCAGGGGAGAGCTCGGAAGAGGTGGGGCTAAAAACAAATTAACTATTCCCAGGCCAGCGATTGGCTGATGGGAGAGGCCTGTGCAGTAATGGAGCGTGTGATTCATTCACTGGTGGGACTCCATTGAGGTCCAAACGCCAAGGGGCAGGACAAGCATCTGCACTCCGCTGCAAAGCAGAGCCACCGGGCCACGGCTTGAACACCATTTATGCTCCTCGGGTGCCATTGTGCCCTGAGGGACTCTGAATTAGCCGACACCCAGGCTGAGCTCTGCAGTGAGGGACACACACACCTAGCTTGGGTCTTCTCAGCACTGGATTAAAGTGACATGTGGCCTGGATAGACCAATTCTGCGGGGCCTCAGTCGTTGCTCCTGCATTTCCCCCTCAGAGCCCGTTTGATTTGCCCCTGAACAGCGGTCTTAGGAGGGGAGTATTGTCTAGTCTCGCTGCTCTGTTCTCACACTGCTTCCTTCGGGGTATTTATCCTCTCCTAAGATGCAAGGGAGGTTGTTAGCCCCAGGGAACTAAGGCAGAGGGAGAGAGACGAGGTGACTTGCCCAAGTAGCCTGTAGCAGGGGCAGGAATTTGAACGGCTTCCAAGGAGAGCGGGGATTTTTTCACAAACCACCCTCCTCGCCCGCCCGCCACCAGTACCAATTCATCAAAACCGAAACTTCACGTCACAGGGTCGGTGCTGACAGAGCTTCTGACTCGGAACATTTGGGGGGAAAGAAGTTTCAGACCTGTCCCAATGTCCCACTTGGACATTTTCAAACTGGAACTTTTGAGTCAAAACAACTTTTTCGTTAGAAATGTGAGTAAAGTTAGACTAAAAACGGCATAAAACTTGAAATAACTAGAACCCTTCTGCCAGTTGTAGTCAGCAGCAACCAGGGCCGGGTTCAATATCTGGGGGTTCCCGTTCAACAATACAACACAGAACCGGCTCGAGCCCCCACCCAGGAACGTGGGACAATTACACCCCACCCCTGGGCGCCGCTGAGAGCAATACTTCCCCCTCACAAGCACAGAGTCCGAGTGTAGCAAAGAAACTTTTAATGAAAGGAGGGAAATCACCCGACATTAAGTTGGGAAAACGTCGCAAGCAGGATTCATAGACATAAAACCGTGAGCAAAACACCCACCCCAGAATCTGTGGGGCCGTGTCTTTTGCCTCAGATTTATGAGTTCTACCACCAAAAGTTCCTCCTTTCTCTCTCCGCCGCACCCCACTCACAGTGGTTGTCCTTGGTCAGGGAAGACCCAGAGTTCAGAGGTGCATCTGTGTGAGTTCACCTCCCACCCTGGAGAGGAGGGCACCTGGCTCACACTCGGCCAGCCACCCTGCTCCGCTGTCCTGAGGTCCCCTCCCTTAACACGACTCTCCGTGATCTCAGCTGTTAGCAGTGGAACCTCGCTGCTAACGCACACTAGGCGGTTTCTTGCATCACAGACACCATCCCAAAGCAGATCTAATGGTTAGGCCTGGTTACCAGTGATTTCAGCTCTATTAGCAAGCCATAGGGTGTATTGCAAGCCTGGTTACCAGTAATTTCAGCTCTATTAGCAAACAATAGGGTGGATTGCACCCTCAGCAAGTTTGCAGATGACACTAAACTGGGAGGAGTGAACATAAGAACGGCCATACTGGGTCAGACCAAAGGTCCATCCAGCCCAGTATCCCGTCTACCAACAGTGGCCAAAGCCAGGTGTCCCAGAGGGAGTGAACCTAAAAGGTAATGATCAAGTGATCTCTCTCCTGCCATCCATCTCCACCCTCTGACAAACAGAGGCTAGGGACACCATTCCTTACCCATCCTGGCTAATAGCCATTAATGGACTTTACCTCCATGAATTTATCTAGCTCGCTTTTAAACCCTGTTATAGTCCTAGCATTCACAACCTCCTCAGGCAAGGAGTTCCACAGGTTGACTATGGTGGTAGATACGCTGGAGGGTAGGGATAGGATACAGAGGGACCTAGACAAATTAGAGGATTGGGCCAAAAGAAATCTGATGAGGTTCAACAAGGACAAGTGCAGAGTCCTGCATTTAGGACGGAAAAATCCCATGCACTGCTACAGACTAGATACCGAATGGCTAGGCAGCAGTTTTGCAGAAGAGGACATAGGGGTTACAGTGGACAAGAAGCTGGATCTGAGTCGACAGTGTGCCCTTCTTGCCAGGAAGGCCAACGGCATTTTGGGCTGTATAAGTAGGGACATTGCCAGCAGATCGAGGGATGTGATCATTCCCCTCTATTCGGCATTGGTGAGGCCTCATCTGGAGTACTATGTCCAGTTTTGGGCCCCATACTACAAGAAGGATGTGGAAGAATTGGAAAGAGTCCAGCGGAGGTCAACAAAAATGATTAGGGGGCTGGAGCACATGATTTATGAGGAGAGGCTGAGGGGACTGGGATTATTTAGTCTGCAGAAGAGAAGAATGAGGGGGGATTTGATAGCTGCTTTCAACTACCTGAAGGGGGGTTCCAAAGAGGATGGAGCTCGGCTGTTCTCAGTGGTGGCAGATGACAGAAGAAGGAGCAATGGTCTCAAGTTGCGGTGGGGGAGGTCTAGGTTGGATATTAGGGGGAAAAATTTTACTAGGAGGGTGGTAAAGCACTGGAATGGGTTACCTAGGGAGGTGGTGGAATCTCCTTCCTTAGAGATTTTTAAGGTCAGGCTTGACCAAGCCCTGGCTGGGATGATTTAGTTGGGGATTGGTCCTGCTTTGAGCAGGGGGTTGGACTAGATGACCTCCTGAGGTCCCTTCCAACCCTGATATTCTATGACTAGAATTTTCAATTCAGTCTTTACCAGCTCTGTTACTACACAATGGACAGAGAAAGGGTCAGGTGGTACCTAGGACCCACACCACTAAGTACAATTACCTATCCCCACCCTCTCTCAACTCACTGGGCTTTGGCACCCCCACCCCCTGCCTAGCAAGTGCAGTTTGATTGAGGGTGAGTCTGCACAGTTCTGCTGCCCCTGGTTCACACTAGAAGGACAACAACCCTTTAGTACCCCTGCCCCCATAACAAAGGGACTGGGGATCCAACACCAGCCAAAAGCGATCATTTGGGCCAAGCAGCCCCATCATGCTGTGCTCCTAGTGGGTGTGCCCATGCAAACAAAGGTGGCTCCCCAAGTCCTCTTCCCCAGCTCATCACCAGATGTCAGGGGAGAGCTCATTCAGACCCTACTTATATAAAGTTTCGACAGACCTCAACCAGATTTGAGTTTGCTTGGGGGGGGTTTTAGTGTGGGAAGATTTTGAGATTTTTTTTTTTACTTTTTGTCGTGATTTGAGATGGGAAAAAATGTCAAAATCTCAAAACTTCTTATGGGATGGAAAATCCCTTTCCTGCCCACCCCAGCTCCAGGTTACACCTGCATGGCCAACCTCTCTCTCACAACACAACAGCCTCTCTGCCAGGCTGCCGGGGCCTCCCATGACCCCATGCTGCTCTCGGGCCCCACATCTCACTCTGACTCTTGTCTGCCTGCAGGTGAAGGAGGACTGGAAGTATGTCGCTATGGTAATAGACCGGATATTCCTCTGGATGTTTATCATCGTCTGTTTGCTGGGGACCATCGGCCTCTTCCTCCCTCCCTTCCTGGCTGGGATGATATAGGGTCTGTGCCCGGCCCGGAAGGTGGTCCTGCTCCCAGACCTGTGGCCAAGGCTGGGGAAGGGACAAACTAACCCACCCTGACTGTGGAGCCACCTTGGGCTTGTCCACACTGGAGGAACATTGTCAAGCCACGACCCCATTTGAACTCCCGCTCGTCCCGGTTAGTACCAGCACAGCGCCAGTGCCGAAGCCACACGTCCCCTGGGCCCAGCTCCAGCTGTGTAAATGCTCACACGCGTCTGGTTTGTGCCAACAAGTGAACAGCGCAGGGGAGTTGGGGCGGGAGAACCCTACAGTGAAACCCCAACAAGATTTTTTCTTGAGTCACTGAAACTGCTTAAAACTAAGCAGATCAGATCAGAACGGAACCCCCCGGGGTGCTCTGCGTTTGAAATTAACATGCCCGTAGCTACCTAGCAAGGCAGCAGGTGCGCCCCCTACGATGGGAACACATTGCTCACGTTGGTTTGGTGACAAGGTTCATTTCATACTGTTCCTCCCAGCCACACACAGTTACCGAGTCCACTTTATCCCCCAGGTGCAAACATAACCCACTGGTCAGGGTGTGTTAGAGGTCCCCATCTGTAGCCTGCAGCTGGGAAGCTCTAACTCTAGCAGCTCATGCTTTTAGCTACGGAGGTCCCCGGGTCAATCCCCAGTGGACAGCCATGGCATAAGCATCCCAGGAGTTAATTCGGGTGATTGGCACCCGGGTCAGCCTAGCCCAGGTGGGAGCAACCTCACTGCAAAGCCGTGCCTGTGTCCTCACTAGCACTGCGCGGCGTGTGTGGGGCTAGGACTTGTGAGGGCACGTCCCATGGTTCTTTGTGCTGCTCTACGATTCTTCTCCATGGAGCCGGGAGAGAACTTGTCTGTCCTTCCGGGTACACAGGGGGAATTGTGGGAAGGCACTGGAGGACTATCAGCGGCTGAGCCTGTGTCCTCACCGCGAAGCCGGCAGGTTCCAGGCTGAAGGGAAAGCAGCACCTACCCCCTCAGCAGGGCCAGCTAACCCAGGGTGAAATTCACTCCAGTGCTCAGGGCTGGCCCAAGAGCTAGTCACCACTTTCAGCCGTGTTCTGCCCGGAACGCCCATTGCAGGTGAGAGCTGCCTGGAAGTTCTTTTCAAAGCAAACAAACATTTTTTTGGGGGGGAAGGGATGGCGAATAGTCAAAAAAAATTGCTGAAACTAATCACAACAAAGATTTTTTTGTTTTCACATCGAAAATTTGTTTGTTTGCTTTTTGGGACCCCGCCCCCTTTCCCACCTCCATTTTTCCAGGGGGGAAAGGACGGGGGGGGGAAAAGGTTTTCTATTAAAACCTTCCCAAAATCTTTCATTTTGATTCGTTTCATAAAAAAACCCCGCAAAAATTTTCAGATGAAATGAACAATTTAAATGCCGTTTGACGTTTCTCCATGGAAAATGCTCAAACAGCCTTAACTTACTGCAGGCGCTAATGAATTCGGAGAACAAACCTGGCAGGCTTTCTGGCCAGTTTCTAAATGGAGGAAACTGAGGCACAGAGAGAGCGTGGCAAGTCGCGGAGATCGCACAGGAAGTCTTCTGCCAGCGCAAGGACTCACACCCCGGTCTTTAACGGCCCAGCCAGGTAGCATCAAAGCGGAGCCTGGAACCCGGGCATCCCAGTTCCCCCAAGCTAGTCAGCCAACTTGTACGTAAAGTCAAACTAAAGTTCTGTCTGGCCCAAGTCAGTGTTCAAAACAGTACCCTGAAGCCCGGTAACACAGGAGGGAAGGCAAACATCATTTCCTGCCTTTTTGGAAGCACCAGAGAAAAATCAAAGAAAGCTTCTCTGATTTTATCCTTGCAGCTGGCAGGGTCATTGATTGACATGTGTCGGGGCTAGTGCCCCCAGTGGAAGCAGGACTAATATCTAGGCCTCTGCCCAGGGGCCAGTTTCACTGTAGAAGGGATGATCCCTAGGCAGGCATTAGTGTGGTGACTGGGTGGCATGATCCTGGCTTGTGGTGCTAAGGGTCCAAGCTTCCAATCCCAAGGAAGGCCTGGTTGTGGATGTATAAACAACAGGACCTTAAATTTGGATGTCTGGGGTTTTTTTTTACTATATATATATAGCTACATTCTAGCCCAACGGTAAGATATGGGCTGGATGCAGGAAGGACTTTAAATCCCAGTGTTGCCAGTTATTGGGGTATTTGGGGTTCTATGTAATCCCCAGCTGCTGGACACAAGAGGCTGTAGGAGACGCCCAGCTTTCTATCCAAAACGAAAGGACGTTTCCAGCCCTTCTAGCGGGCTTTAAATTGCGAAGCAAGTGCAACCTGAAGGCAAAGAAAAAGAACCCCTCCCCCATTTATTATCTTTCTAAAAAAATCTCGTGATTGTTAAACCGATCTCAGGATTGGGGGCAGGGATATGATTTTGCCCCTGAGTTCTGCAAGACATCGACTAGGCGTTCTGTGTTTGGACAGCACCTCACACCATAAGGTCCTGGGGCTCCTGCAGTGAATGGGTTCCCTAGGGAGGTGGTGGAATCTCCTTCCTTAGCGGTTTTTAAGGTCAGGCTTGACAAAGCCCTGGCTGGGATGATTTAGTTGGGATTGGTCCTGCTTTGAGCGGGGGGTTGGACTAGATACCTCCTGAGGTCCCTTCCAACCCTGATATTCTATGATTCTATGATACATAATAAGTAATTAGTAATTCTTGCATCTGAAGAAGTGAGGTTCTTACCCACGAAAGCTTATGCTCCCTATACTTCTGTTAGTCTTAAAGGTGCCACAGGACCCTCTGTTGCATAATAAGTAATAATGGTCCCGTCAGGCCTTACGAATCCACGCCGCTCTAAGGTCAAGGTGACGTCCCAGAGATGTTCAGTATTATCTTCTGGGGAGGCTAGATTGTCACCCGTAAACACGCCTCCCTCCCCCCCATTCCAACGTGACTGTTCTGGCCTACAGTCGATCCAGCCCGGCCACCTATGTATAAAGTACCCTTACAAACAACAGCTCTCCAACACGCACCTGCTACTGCTGCCACCTGGGGGCTGGCCTAGCAAGGAGAAGTGCCTGAGGCCCTTTCATCCAGGACGCTTTGAATGAAGGGAACAGGACGCAGAATGATCGGAGACATGGAGCCTGGGCACAGGAGCGGAATAGCGAGCTGGAATACATTTTTCAAACACAGGCGTTAGCATTGATACTGGCAGGGCCATATGGCATACAGGAGTCTGTGGGTGGACATTTGTGTTTCCGGATACGAGTATAAAGATGTGTGTGTGTGTGTGGATGCGTCTGAGTGGATGTGTGTAGAAGGCCAGGTAGAGGGGTAGGTGGGTCTGAGTTTGAATGTGTTTACACTCAGGTATAGCTTTGTAAGTATGGGGTATATAGGAGAAGTGTGTGTGGATGGGGGTATGGAGGTGTATCAAATAGAATGTTTTGCACCAGTGATATCACTACAAGATGCAAACCCCGCAGCGGCTGTAACTGGCCTCCCGTTTAGCCTTCAGAGACAAACAGAACCGATTTTGTTACTGGAGTGTTCTCCGTTTTCAAGAGTCCTTGGACTTCAAGTTCTAGCTGACCTGTCCTCACAGGTCCGCCAGAGCAAGAGAAACAACACAAGAAAACCTGGGAGATGTCCAGCCCAGGCTGAGCCTTGCGCTTCAGATAACCCTCATGCTCCAGGGCCTTTGATGCCTGCCCATAAAGAATACCCTTGATCTTGTGTCTAACACCCCGCGAGCTTTTGCAGCCACAAGGGGCCATTTGAGAGGAAGGGGGGAAACACAAGGGATCTTGCGAGCCCCACCCTCAGCCATATAAAGTCCATAACTCTCACACCACAGAAAAGCAAAGGCACAAACTTTGTACATCATTTATCTCAACCAGAATAAACAGCTTCATGGGAATTAATGGCCACAGCCAAACCGTACAATTTTGAATTCAACCACAAACCGAATAGAAAGATTTTCGTCGTCGTTGTTGCTTTGTTCTTTTTTTTTTTTTCCCCCCACACAGAATCTTACAGAGAAGCAAAGATCAGAAATACCGTCCTCGGGGTTGGTTTGTGTTTTTAAACGGCAGAACAAAGGCTACGATTCGGCGCTGTCCATGCTCTGGGATCGGTGCATTCCAGCTGCAGACGGGGAGGGGAGTGAGCGGATAGGTTCCAGAGATGCATACAGATCACGCACGGTCATTAAATAAACTCTTCTATACAATGTACAAGAAAATAAACAGTCTCTTCATGGCTCAGTGGAACATTTCCAGAGCGCCAGGTGTCTAACACCCGGGTCTCAGCCAGCATCGTCCAAACACCCTAGTCTCCCAATGCCTACAAATGTAACAAGGGAAAGAGGGAACCTAAGAGCCACCTGCACCTGTGAAATTCACCAGTCTCCTGTCAACTCAGAGGGTGCTATGGAAGTAGAATTGATCTGAAAGCTCCCTGGCAGGGCTGGGACTGGCAGGTGGCTGGGTGATTCCACTTGTCTATCCCCACCCCACCCCACGCTCCCCACCCCTCCAGTGTCTTGTGTGTACAGACTCATCCCCAGCAGCACATTCCATGGGGCACAGGAAGACAGCGCGTTCCCCACAAGCATGCCCTGTAAGGGGGAGGAGCCAGGGGAGTCTCCGCCCTGTTCTCAGAAGACTGACACGACAATATACAAGACACGAGCGATTGCAGGGAGGGGGGTGGAACATCGAGGCGGGAGGAGATATTTAAAGCCGGGCCTTCTGGAGCAGATTCCTCTCCCGTCTCCACCAGCAGCGTGTCTCTCTCTCTCTCACTCCAGAGTGAGCTTCACCAGGTTGCCTTGGACCTTAGCCTGGTCCACAGCGTCCAGCAGGTTCTTGGCGTCCACGGCCAGGGTGTGGGAGGCCGTCAGCATCTGGCGCTTGCACTCCTCGCTCAGCGAGGTGACGGCGTTCTGCTGCGCCAGGCGCATCTTGTTGATCAGCTCGGCCAGGTCCTTGTTCAGCAGTTTCTGGGTGCCCTCGATCTGCCAACGCAAAACACACACATGTGGCTGGGAGCGTTAGAGGCAGCAGCGGAAGAAGAGCGTGAAGGACAGTCCTAAAGCTGGAGGCCCTCTAGTGGCTGGATCACATAGGGGATAACAGCCTACCACTGCTGCCAGCTAATGGAGTTACTCAGCTACGTGCACACTCAGGGATGACTGCAGTCGGTGCGGTCAGTAGTTCCTTCCAAGACAGCTTCATCCAGACCAGGGTTTAGGAAGACCCTGTGATGTCATTAGGCAGGAAAGCCTGCGCAAGTCACTCTGAGAGTAAGAGACAACCACAGGGTCTGTCTATAACCAACAGCCTCAGTTGAGAATCACCTTTATATTCATTACACCTGAGCCCTGTCTCTTCTCTACCCTGCCTTGCCGGGGGAAGACGCATGGGGGCTTTACCACCAAAATGTAAGTGCTCCCTGTTGAAGCTGCATCCTCGGATTTATCATTGGTCCTGACCATGATACCAGGCTGAAATCTAATGCCCTCTCCACCAACCAGGCCTTCGGTTTGCAATCCACTCCCCTTGGACAGTGAAATCCGCTAAGAGGGCCCGATTCACTGCTGGCTATTGCTGCTACCGTGTGTGGACAACTCTCCCAATTTTAATCATGAGCCTTGCAATGTTTGATAATTTTCTTAAAGCCCCAGCTCCTCGAGTCATGTGATTGGCCAGGCCTCTCAGCTTTCCTTGACAAAAAATACCGCGTTACCAGCTTTCCCGGGAGAAAAAAGTTGGAAAATGCGCCTCCTTCCGGCTCAGAGAGCAGAAGTCAAATAAAAAGAAACCCTTTGTGCTGCTGTTGGTCCCATGACTTGGGGCGGCCTGACTCACGATTCTGGCACATTCGGAGCTGGCTATACCCGCCTCCATCCATGTGGGATGAGCTGTCACCTGGCACTTATAAATAGCGACTCAAGGAATTCTCTAATCAACTCTGTATGGCCCCTGGCAAGCCCTCGTGGGTGTCATTGGAGTGCGGTTTCTTTAAGAGCCAGGCCTGTGCTGTCACCCTGGCTGGTAGACGTAGAGTGCAGGGGACCGACTCCTGCGAGAACAAAGGCCCCTCTGGCAGGAGGGCAGGTGCCTTGTGCTGTGTGAGCCCTGAAAGCACGAACGTCTGCAGACTGGGATCTGCTCCCAGGACGTGCGGGCAGGGAGCTGGGGGTGGGGAGAGACCATGTGCTGGGATCATCCATTACCCCAAAGGCGGGGGGTGTCCCAACTGACGGCTCTCCCTGGCAGTAGGGGGTGCGGGAGCCCTTACCTCTGTGCGCGATGAAATGGGCAGAGCTGGCAGGATCTCGTCCACGCTGCCGATCAGCTTCCGAAGGGACAGGCCCACGTTCTGTGAAGGGGGAAAGGCAGCGTGAAAGGCGTCTCCGGCTTCGGCAAAAGGCTTCGTTCTTAGTAACGACCTGGGCCTGTCTTGGCTTGGGAGGGCCGCTGCAGAGAGATGCACTCTGGGAAATGTCCCCCGCTCTTGGGTCAAGGCCACCACTGGGGAGAGGTGCATCTTGGGAAATGTTCCCCGCTCTTGGGTCAAGGCCACCACTGGGGAGAGGTGCATCTTGGGAAATGTTCCCACTCTGGGGTCAAGGCCACCACTGGGGAGAAGTGCAACCTGGGAAAATGTTCCCGCTCTGGGGTCAAGGCCACCACTGGGGAGAGGTGCATCTTGGGAAATGTTCCTGCTCTGGGGTCAAGGCCACCACTGGGGAGAGATGCAACCTGGGAAAATGTTCCCTGCTCTTGTGTCAAGACCACCACTGGGGAGAGGTGCATCTTGGGAAATATGACATGAGCAGAGAAAGGTCTAACATGATCCAATGGCTGGAAGTTGAAACCAGACAGATTCAGACTGGAAACGAGGTGTCAATTTGTACTAATGAGAGTAATTGACCACTGGAGCAGTTCCCCAAGGTTTGTGGTGGATTCTCTGTCACTGGCAATGTTTAACTCAAGACTGGCTGTTTTGCTAAAAGCTCTGCTCTGGGAGTTACTGTGGGGCAGGTCTCTGGCCCGTGTTACACAGCAGATCAGACTAGATGATGACAATGGTCCCTTCTGGCTTTAGGATCTCTGACTCTAGGATCTGTCTTAGTCCTTGCCAGTCTTCCCAGGAGGCAGCCTTGGGTGCCTTCCTCCTCCCCTGGGGGCTTTACCTTCACCACAATGATGTACCCCTCTGGGGGCAGCTGGCAGATCTCGTTCTTGAGCTGCAGTACCGCCTTCACCAGCTCCATGACGTTACTGTACACCGTGTCGTCCGTCCGGTCCAGGTTGGCGGTGGGGGCCGGCTGGATCGGCTGCCCAGAGACCAGGAGAGGACATATGATCTGCTTGCCCGCCGGGCCGGCTCACCAAAGGCTTCAGAAGGAAGCCCCGAGGAGAAAGGACAGCAGCCGCGCACGACGCAGTCCCTTCTGTGCCCCCGGGGTGGACTCCCCGCCTAGCGGGCAGGCAGCTGTTAGCATCATGGTGCGTGCAGACCCACCAACAGCTGGGCGGAGGGTCAGTGCTTCCATTGCCAAAGCCAGGCATGGGGGCGTAGCATCGGACTGCTAATCGCTGCTCCCCACTCCAGGCTCAGGTACGTACTAAAGGGACACTGGGCACAGTGCAGTGACCACGGACCACCCTTCCCTCCCTCCCTCCCTCTCTCCCTCCCGGGGGCCCTGAGTAGCTAGGGCCAAGTGGGGGGCTGGGGCTGGTTTCGAAGTGGAAGAGAAGGGACAGATGCAGGCCGGGAGGGAGAAACCCAGCCGGGTTCGTTTTCACACATACCTGAGCTCCATGCCTTGGAGGCTTCTGGGGTGGGCCCGTAAACTCGGCTGAACCGTGCGGGAAAGAAAAGAAGAATTGTTGTTCTGTTTGTTATTTCTATTGCCGTTGCCCTCGGAGACCCCGGTCAGGCCTCACCGCGCCATGTCCTGCCGGCACATGTGGGGCCTGTCTACACTTCGAACTGCCCGGTGTAACTTCCAGCTCAAGGAGACATGCCCATGAGAGCTCTGATCGACCTAGTGTGCTAAAACCAGTGTAGCCGCAGGGGCGCGAGCAGCGGGAAGGGCTAGCCGCCCGAGTACGTACCTAGCGTCTTGGATGGGTACGTCCTCCCCACCCCCAAAGAGCTCAGTCTGGGTGAACAGGCACTGTTGTCTAGACCTTTAAATAGGTTCAACCCCCAACACTGGTTTTGCACCACGTGTTAACCCATGGAACTCCCTGGCTCAGGATATTATATAGACAAACAACTTAGAAAGCTCCCCCCACCTCGAAAAAGGATTAAACAATGTGTCTGAATGAGAGCTGCATGTGCAGCCGGAACAGCTGCTGCCAGAAACCCCACCCCTATGCTGGAGGAGGATGGGACAGTCTGGAATGGGCACTCACTGTAGTCGGTCTCCTTCTCCGGGAGCAGCTGCAAAGAAAAGAGAAACATCATCAATAAGCCTAGGTCCTGAAAACCTGAAATGAGGGAGGGCGTGAGTTGGAACCACCTCTCCTGTCTGGCACCAAGCGAACCCAGCAACAGCAAGGTGTAGACACAATCTCCATGGTCGGAGTATCAGGCGGGCCCCAGGTTCATTGAGATCACCGCGGTTCCAAGCACCAGTTCGCACACCACTGGGTGCGAAGAGCCAGGCCAGCGTTTCAGAGAACCGAGGTTCAGCTAGTGGAGGTTCTACTGTGATTTGCATTGTTCAGTTGGGGAAGCAAGGCAGAGAAGATCAATTGTAACGGTTAAGGGGCTGGAGGAACTTGCTTACCAGGGAAAGGCCTACGAGCGAGGTATGTCTAGCTTGGCTGAGCAGTGACTGGGGAGCGGGGGGAGAGGATGGCTGTCTAGGAGCATGGCAAGGATGTAAACACCAAGGACGGGGAGACATGGTTAGGGATGGGATAAGGGCTGTTGTACTATACACCTGTCAGGGATGATCTAGAGAATACTTAGTCCTGCCATGAGTGCAGGGGACTGGACTAGATGACCTCTCGAGGTCCCTTCCAGTTCTATGCTTCTATGATTCTACAAGTATCCCTATTGTACAGATGGGAACTGAGGCTAAGTGGCTTGCCAAAGGTCACACAGGAAGTCTGTGGCGGAGCAGGGAAATGAACAAAGACCTACCAGATCATAGGCTAGTGCCCTAACCACTGGAACAAAGAGATGTCCCATCTAGTCCAAAGCATGGGCCAGCCAAGTCCCGCTCACACTTCTGAGTCTCTGAAAGCACCTTTCATCCCAGGTTCTTTGTTACAAACAGGGATTAAAAAGGTATTTCGAGAACCCAGTGAGACAGGTAATAACTAGGGCTGTCAAGCGATTAAAAAAATGAATCGCAATTACTCGCACGATTGAAAAAATTAATCATGTTTAATCACACTATTAAACAATAATAGAATACCATTTATTTAAATATTTTGGATGTTTTCGACATTTTCAAATATATTGATTTCAATTACAGCACAGAATACAAAGTGCACAGTGCTCACTTTATGTTTATTTTTTATTACAAATATTTGTGCTGTCTTTTCAATTCACTTCATACAGGTACTGTAGTGCAATCTTTTTCATGAAAATTGAACTTACAAATGTAGAATTATGTACAAAAAGATCCCTGCATTCAAAAATAAAACAATGTAAAACTTTAGAGCCTACAAGTCCACTCAGTCCTGCTTCTTGTTCAGCCAATCGCTAAAAGAAACAAGTTTGTTTACATTTGCAGGTGATAATGCCGCCCGCTTCTTGTTTACAGTGTCACCTGAAAGTGAGAACAGACGTTCGCATGGCACTGTTGTAGCCGGCATTGCAAGGTATTTATGTGCCAGATGCGCTAAACATTCGTATGCGCCTTCATCTTCAACCACCGTTCCAGAGGACATGCGTCCATGCTGATGATGGGTTCTGCTCGATAACGATCCAAAGCAGAGTGGACCAACGGAATGTTCATTTTCATCATCTGAGTCAGATGTCACCAGCAGATGGTTGATTTTCTTTTTGGTGGTTCGGGTTCTGTAGTTTCCGCATCAGAGTGTTGCTCTTTTAAGATACCTGAAAGCATGCTCCACACCTCGTTCCTCTCAGATTTTGGAAGGAACTTCAGATTCTTAAACCTTGGGTCGTGTGCTGTAACTATCTTTAGAAATCTCACATTGGTACCTTCTTTGCGTTTTGTCAAATCTGCAGGGAAAGTGTTCTTAAAACGAACAACATGCTGGGTCATCATCCGAGACTGTTATAACATGAAATATATGGCAGAATGCGGGTAAAACAGAACAGGAGACATACTATTCTCCCCCAAGGAGTTCAGGCAAAAATTAATTAACGCATTATTTTTTTAACGAGCCTCATCAGCATGGAAGCATGTCCTCTGGAATGGTGGCCGAAGCATGAAGACGCATATGAATGTTTAGCATATCTGGCACATAAATACCTTGCAACGCCGGCTACAACAGTGCCATGCGAACACCTGTTCTCACTTTCAGGTGACGTAAATAAGAAGTGGGCAGCATCTCCCGTAAATGTAAACAAACTTGTTTGTCTGAGCGATTGGCTGAACAAGAAGTAGGACTGAGTCGACTTGTAGGCTCTAAAGTTTTACATTGTATTGTTTTTTGAGTGCAGTTATGTAACAAAAAAAAATCTACATTTGTAGGTTGGACTTTCAGGATAAAGAGATTGCACTACGGTACTTGTATTAGGTGAATTGAAAAATACTATTTCTTTTGTTTATCATTTTACAGTGCAAATATTTGTAATAAAATAATAAATATAAAGTGAGCACTGTACACTTTGTATTCTGTGTTGCAATTTAAATCAATATATTTGAAAATGTAGAAAAACATCCAAAAATAGTTAATAATTTTCAATTGGTATTCTATTGTTTAACAGTGCGATTAATTGCGATTAATTTTTTAGTTAATCGGGTGAGTTAACTGCGATTAATCGACAGCCCTAGAAATAACTAGAAGACAGTTTGGCTCCTATCAGAATTAGCTTTGTGTTACTCACTGGAGGAGAATTGTTGTTCATATAGACCATAGGGTCCTGTAATGGAGAAGAACAAGAAATATGAATCGCACAGAACCAGTGAAACAATTATCTTTATACGTTATAGCTATTGGACTGTCACAGACATGTGGCCCCCGAGGAACTTGAGAGCTGTTATCATTTTGCTGCTCATCTACTTCATGGCTAAACTAAGATCTTCCCAGGCTAAGAGAGACTCTCCTTTAGCCATTACCAGTAAAGGGCATATGACACACCGTTGAGCAGTTCCAGTGCCTCCCAGCAGAGGGCAGACAAACATATTAGTAGAGCTGGTCTCGAATTTTTTGACTAAGCGACTTTTTGCCCAAAAAGGCAGATTCATCTAAAACAAAATTTTTAACAGGAAAGAACTGGCTTTGACAAATTTCCTTTTAAAAAAATTGTTGGGAAAAAAGTTTCAAAATTGACAAAATGTCCCATTTCGACATTTTTCAAAACACAAAGTTCCATTTTTGGTTCAAAATGACTTTTTGCTTCGAAATTTAAGTTACTTTATAGTAAAAAATGTTTTTAATTAAAAATGGTTGAAATTGAAATGAAACATTTTGATTGACCCAAACAGATTTTTTTTTTCTGGATTTTTGGTTCATGAGCAATTTTGAGCTTTCAATTTTTCCTCCCAATTCAGGAGAAGAAGTAGTTTCAAAATCTCGAACATATTCCCAGGACAGAAAAACCACTTCCTGATCAGCACTACACATTAGCCATTTAGTGATTATACTGAATGCTCCATAACAGAGCGTGTTAAGCAGCCAGTTTCACAGTGGAGGAAACCAAAGCTAACCCTGTTTTTATCATGCTCACAGACCTAGGCTGCTACACATTAGCCAATGCAATCATTGTATCTAATTTAAAAATATACTACGACCACTGATTAAAACACTATTCCAAGCATTTTCAAAATTCACAGTTGTTCCATACTCCAGGGTTCAAAAACTTTTCCAGGAAATTTTCCACAATATTTTTAACCAAGATTCATATCGAAACTATTACAGACATTTTTCATCCCCCCCAAACCAGGTTTTCTTACCAAAAACTGGGGTTTCCACACACAGAACATTTCTATAACAAGTTTGGTACAAATGTTGATTAAAAAGCACGGCGTGGAAAATTTAGTAAAGAACAGAAAATGTCCATAGTTTTGACAACCTTTCGTGAGAAGTTTTGGGTTTTGAAAAAAAAAAAAGGGTGTGTGAAAAATTCCAGCCACCTATAGACACCATAGTACGATATTCTCTGGTAACAGCCCCAACCTCCAGACTAGCTCCGTTATTGGTGTAGACTATTGGATTATTAGTATTTTTAAAATGTATTTAACCCTATAAATCTATCTTAGGTACATCTATGGCCCTCATTACTGTAGTATCAGAATATTTCAGTCTTTGATGTATTTGTCCTCACAGCACCCCAGGAGATAGTGCAGTGCTAGTATCTTCATTGTACATATGGGAAACTGAGGCACAGCACAGAGGAGCTAAGTGAATTGCCAAAGGAAGTATGTTGCAAAACAGGAGCTGTGCCTTGGTCTCTAGAGTCCCAGCGCACAGCCCTGACAACTGGACCACCCTAGCAGAGCAATACGCTGATCTAATAGTGACCAGAGCTGGGCTGGAGCCGTATTTTCCATGTCGCCGGAAATTCCGTGATTTCAAAAACTTTTCTGTTCCGATACAGAACAAAAACAAAAAAACAGAGACATTTCCCTTGGAATGAAATTCTGGGAAAAAAACCAAACCTTTATGAGGTCAATCCAAAAGTTTTGTTTGGTTTTTGACTTTTTAAAACCTTTTATATTATATTAAATACCATTTTAAAGCCTGAAAGGAAAAGTCCGTTCAGAACAGAAAAGTGAAACGTTCCCTTCCAAGAATATCAAAGAGAAGATGGACTAGATGACCTCCTGAGGTCCCTGCCAACCCTGATATTCTATGATTCTAAGACTCCGACCTCAGCGGAACCCTCTGATCCAGGGTTATCCCCAAAACAAAATTTCCTCAAACTTGACACATTCCTGGGCAATGTTTTGCTTTTGACGAATTGGCATTTTCCAATGGACAAATGTTCCATCGCAAAACGTCTGGCCGGCTCTCCGGCTGAACCCGCTGGACCCACTCACCAGGGACTTCTCTTCTTGCCTCAGCCACTGATAATCCTCCGCCATCTGCTTCTGCTGCTTGTCGAGCGTTTGCCGCATCTTGGCCCGCTCCATCTCCCACAGCTTCTGTGCCTCCTCCCTGCTAGTGGGCCTGAGGAAGTCCTCCTCCTTGGAGATAGAGGGTGGGCTGTGACTGCGGCAGTCACGGCTCGGGGACTGCCCGCCTCCCGCACGAGCCAGGCACCACTGGAGAACTCAACCCAGAACCCAAGGCAACAGGCCACCCTCTGCCCATATTGACATCCCATTGGAAGCTTGAAACCAAGACCATGTTTATGTCTTTCAATATATTTTCCTTCATTGTATGTGTAGACACTGGTTAGTTATTGCAGGGCTGCCCATGCTGGTTTGTTATGGTAGGGTTACTCAGCGAGAGATCTGGGCCTATGTTGGTTTTTATGGTAGGGTTACTCAGTGGGAGATCTGGGCCCATGCTGGTTTGTTATGGTAGGGTTACTCAGCGGGAGATCTGGGCCCATGCTGGTTTGTTATGGTAGGGTTACTCAGTGAG